GACCCTACTCCCTACAGCGGACCTAAGTTCGACACCCCCTCGCTGAGGACTCACAGCCTTCACAACGTGCTCTGGTCAGGATTACCTCCATGGACTATTTCTATCGAAATCCACCTAATGCATAAACTCTTGTAGGAACTATGCAACCTCCCAATTTAGAAACGTGCGAACAGTGAGGGGGTGTGGAGATTCGGAGAGAGTCTCTCTGCCGAAAATTTCTTTCGAAGTGTCCTGACGTTATACAATCATTGGTTTTGTCCCTTGTTCTTCGTGAAACATGACCATTCTTCATTATATACCTTTATTTTTTCATTCTCATCTCGAATAAGTGCACCTCTACGGCGCTCTTCTCTACCTTCCGGAGCTACGTTCCTTGCGTAACGGACCTCCCACCCCTTCGGACATTTTTTTTTCTCTGGTGTGCGGCCCCTCCCCAAAAACCAACCCACATTCTACATACTACGTTCTTCCAAATTCTCCTAACTTTCCTATCACCCCTTTGAGCAGTTCCTCCTATACGTGTATCTGTCGGCTTTTTTCATAAAAAAAACTAGCTGTCTTGTTGTGCGTGGTGTGTCTTGGCTGAGAGTATGTCGGAGCGCAGGAAGGGGGGACGGGGGGAGTAAGCGCTCATGAACAGAGAGAACAACGAAACGTTCCAGTTCAATAAACATTTCTTCACACAGGCGACCCTCCTCCCCCCCTCTCTCTCTCCGAACACACCAGATACTACCTCTCGCTGGGATCCACGACCCAAGAAGTGCTCTTTACCGGCTCCTCGCTCTGGCAGCAGACTTGTTCACTCAATTGACACGTGTGATAATACTTGACCTTCTTCCTCAAATTCTTAACTTCCTACACCTTTTCGAATTGTCGTTGTCAAGAAGTTTCTTCTTTTCTTCGCTTTCACTTTGAAAATCTACAAAAGTGCGTCTCCGAGCGGGAGGGAGCTTCCGGGGAGGGGAGGTACTGCGCACGTGAAACGAGAAAAACCAAGAAAAGTCAACAGCCGAAAATAAGAATCAAAAGCGAACCCCTCCCTCCCAACACACCTGATACCACCCCCCCCCTCCTCGCTGGGATCCCCGACGTACGACGTGCTCTCTGGCAGCAGACGTTCAACTCAATTGACCTGAGATAATTCGAAATGACCTGCCAGAGAGCGTGATGATGTCAATCATCAAGGTGTACGTTGTGCGTTCCGTAATGAGTGTTTGCGTGACCCACCATACAGGGCTTCTTCGCGCAAATCCAGCAGGTAGCACGTGATGATGAGAGAGAGCGGAGGGGTAGGAGGGTAATCACTTTTCTGGATTAGACGCAAACAGCTGTTAGGGTGGGGGGAGATGTGAGCGTTGTAGAGTCGCTATGAATAATAGTCGTGTCTGGTCCGATCACTGCCTTTGTTAAATTGCCGTGGATGATCAGACTAGCTGTTTTTTCCCTCTGCTTTACTTTTTTATGTTTTCATGATTTGTTCGATTTGACAGGGCACGTTGTACGTTGGGGATTCCCAGCGAGGGGATCGTATTTGGTTGTCGAGGAAGGGGATAGGGGAGGGGTCATGGTTGCCTCTGTGAGGGGTGTTTTCGGTTGTTGACATTTCTCAATTTTTTTTCAGGTTTCACGCGCGCGTATAGCCAACCCACGAAAGTTTTTTTGGGTTTTTTTTGGGAAACTCAGGAAAAGTGATAGGAAGAGAGGATGGTTGATAGTGAGGGGGGGTCGTATACTGCAGAATTTTTCCCCGTCAGGATGAACGCCGATCTTTGATAATATTAGAACCCTGGTCAGACTTCCTGACAGTTCATTCGTTTGAGTGCGCTAACATACACTCCATATCTCGAAGATTGGGAGGGCGTAGTTGAGTACTTTACTTGTGGGATGCGTCTTTGCGGTATTTTTTTTGTTAAAAGCAACTACCATTCTATTGTGCTATACGATGAAGTGATTGCCTCGTCTCAAAACAACAGCATCCTATCGAAAGCACAGCCGCTCTCGAGTTCGAATGAAGCAGGCAGCCACGCCCTCTCCATCTATGGGATACGGAGTTAGCCTCAGATTGGATGGTGCGATATGAGTGTCACTGTGTGTACTTGAGATGATACGTTTAAATGCCAACACTAGTCGCTTGTCCTGGGGATCAATATCTCGAACTTAGCTTTTTTGCTTTTTGTCCCTAAATATCCTCCCAGTTCTGTGACCTCAGCTCAGAGTACATGCCGTACGTTGGCGGATTCTCCAGCGCCGGGAAGACAGGCTCCTATTCGTTCAGTAAGGGGGGGGGGAGGAGTGTATGTTCTGGCCTGACAGAGAATCTCATGATTTCTTTAGGTTTATCCCGTTCTGTCGGCGCTCGCAGGCGGAATTACGAGGGCCCTCCTTGACACAATGGCTCCGCAAACACTAGCCCTGCCCTTTTTTCCGTAAACTGTGCGGTTTGAACGGGAACGGGGAGCTCTAGCGTAGTTAGATAAACCATGTGGTGTTCCGCCACGTGTCAACTTTGCAGTCCTTGTTGAACCTCTTGCCGACAGACGGCCTTGTTTTTGAGTTTATCGTTCGTACCCGAAAGCTTGGCGCTAGGAAGCTGAATTCTAAGAGGATTGGGTCTGGAGGTAATTAATAGTGGCATGATTCGATGCACGCAACTGCTCTAAGACGAATTGTACTTGAGGAATGTTATGTGAAGGGTCATGTTTGTTCCCCTGAGAGCAGAGGCTGCATTGAACCGGAGAGGGTGTGAGATGCATGGCAAGTCTATTGAAATTCCTCGTCAATTCTAAGAAAAAATCATCCCTCCTTTTGCCTGTTTCCACTCAGTTTTGGCCTCCAAAAAAATAAAACCTTTAGCTGTAACTCCGTGGAATGTAAAGTCAGCATATACGCGCACTATTCAACTATTACTACCCCAGATTTCCGGAAACGGGCCGGATTTTGATCGACTTTTTTCTACGGGGGTGGATTTGGCTGAAAGTTGGGTTCTAGGGGTATCGCTCGAAACCGCCTGGCGCCCGCGCCACAGGCGCCGGCGCCAAAGTACCCTAGATCACGAAATCCGCTGAAAACTTGTACCTAGGGGTAGTTTGACCTCCTAATCACGAATATCACATTCCCTCGGCTTGAAACCGCTCCGCGTCCGCGCTACGGCGCCGGCGCCAAATGCCCCAAAGGGCCTATGGGGGGCGCCAGCAATTTCAGGCAAAATGGAGATGTTGATATTACGTGTCTCCAGGAGGTCGAATTACCCCTAGAACCCAACTTTCAGCCAAATCCACCCCCGCAGAAAAAAGTCGATCAAGATCCGGCCTGTTTTCGCAAAACTGGGGTAGTAATAGTTGAACAGTCTTCAATATATTCTTCCATTTGGAAGAGGACCGTAATCGGGAAGTTGTAAGTTGTGGGATAGGAGATCGTGGTTATAACCCATTTTCTCATCGCCATGATTTGCTTTTGTTGGGGTCCCTGTAGCCATTCTCTTACTCTTGCATAAGGATAAACTGCCTGCATAGTAAAACTTTAATTTTTCTACTGAGTAACATTTTGTTCCAATCCAAATATGTTCTTTCGGGGAGAGGGACAGCACCAACAAAAAAAAACCAAATACAATCACCAAGACACAAGTGCAATGGATCTTGGTTGGGAAGTCCACGTTGCGGCGAAGGCGGCATTGCAGTGGTGTCACGTGAGCGGCGCACAAGACCTAATTGATTTGACGGGAAAGTATTATTTGGCGCTGTTTGCCGACGGGGGGGGCATTTTGCACTTTAACGACTTCCCATCGACGTGTCGACCCATCTAGACAGCCTCTCTCGAGTTGACAGGTTTTACCATGATGGCTTGACGAGCTTGCTCCAGCTTCACAAGAGTTCACAGGTTTCACCAGAGTGAGACTTGTAAACCAGAACTAGTGAAGCAACGAAAGTGCAAAATGCCCCCACCCCCCCCCCCCCCCCGTCGGCAAACTGCACCGTGTTCTTGTATCCCGAGTTAGCCATCAGGGTATACCAGCTGGTTTGCGCGCGTCACCGCAACGTGAATCTCCTGGCCGACAGCCGAGAGAAGCAGTTTGGGAGGGGAGAGAGGGATTCATAGGACATCTTATGCAGAAAAGTATAACTGCAGTAGACGCGGATCCTTTTGCTCGAGGCTAAAGAAGGGCAGCTACTGGGTAGATGAACCAATTGGGGCGCTGTTTGGATTGGGAGGGGGCATCTTGCATTTTCAGCAGTTCTTTTGCTACTTCAAGCTAACTAACAGGACTCACCAAAATGTGGCCTGTAAACTCTAGTGAAGCTGCGAACTGGTACGAAATGAAATCGAACTGCGCCCCAGTTTTGAGTACAGAAGCCGGCTCATAGTGTAACGTCTCTCTTCCCTTCTCTTATCCTTTGTTTCTCTTCCTCTTCCTAGCTAGTTGACTAGAGAGATACAGACAGAAAGAATGGACGTGCCGTAGCGCTGCCACCTTGACGGATTGGGTCCTAGTGCTAAAGCAACGCAACACCTTCGTCGCCACGCTGGCCGCCACTGGGAAATAGCGCTGTACGCCCAGCAATCCCTTGCTTGTTAGAGCCATCCCAGCGAGAAGGTCGCTAAGTGCTCTCCTTTGGTTACCAGCTTTTTAGATGGTATATTTTCCGGTGTCGGATTGATGTATTAGTTGCAAACCCGACAAGAAGCCCAACAGGGCGCAGTTTGACGACGGGGGGGGGGCATATTGTACTATCATTGCTCCCCTAGTTCCGGTATATACAAGTCGCACTCTGACGAAACCTGTGATTTCTTATGGAGCAAGCTCATCTAGCCATCATGGTAAAACCTGTCAACTCGAGAGGAGCATCGATGGGAAGTAGCGAAAGTGTAAATTGCCCCCCCCCCCATCGTCAATCTGCATCACACAACAGATATTCGTAACTCGAAGACTCGTATGTCGCTCGGTACTTCTCGCGTTCATATTTTTTTCAAACCCGTCCTTTTTTTGCGCTAATTACCCTTTATTGATTGTCTCATTTCAGAGCGGACGTGCGCAAGGATCTGCTGTTGATCATCGCGAACTAGGTGAAAAACTGAATCGACTAGTAAGTAGAAGCTCAATTGGATCAAGTTTGCCGTCTCTTAGGTCAGTTCAAGTTCGGATTCTCCATTTTATGGCGCGTTTTGATTCCTATTGCGTTTCGTATAGCTGCACTTAAACGTTTTCATTCAGTTCGTTGCACTCGTCATCGTCGTTGAATACGATGCCGTCGGCAAAAGTCGCTGATGGTTCGTACTCGCATCGTCCAGCGTTAAAAAATGGATTGAAGCGTGAGTTTTTATTGACAGCTTTTGTGTTTGTCAGGCTGAGGGGCAGTGTCGTCAGCGGCCGTTTTTTTCTATCGCTCGATATCGTTAAGTTGCAGAAAAAAGTGGCGAAGATCGTCAACGGGATATCGAGTTGTATAAAATTCTTCGCGGCAAGAAAGCAGAACTCGAAGAGCTATTGAAAGCCCGGATCAATGAGTTACGATCGGTCTGTCTGAAAGAAGGGGTGAGTTATTGAGTGGTTCCTTTGGAAGGAACCAACAGCAAGACACGTCCTGCCATTCAGGAATTTTCTTGCGAACGTTGACCCCTCCTTCCCCACTGCCCTACCTGCCGTCGTTAAATTCTTATAACGCCCGCGGAAGTTCGACGGAGGAGGGGGGGGGGGCATTTTGCACTTTTGCTACTTCCCATCGACGTGTCGACCCATCTAGAGAGCCATTTCGTGAGCTTACAAGAGTTGACAGGTTTTACCATGGTGGCTAGACGAGCTTGCTCCAGTCACAAGAGTACAGTTTTCACCAGAGTGAGACTTGTAAACCGCAACAAGTAGCGAAAATGCAAAATCCCCTCCCACCCTGTGGCCGAACGGCGCGTTTTCTGAGTCTAATTCCCTTGTTATAGGAATTGACGGGAGAAATGCCTCAAGAAATCAGCGCCACCCTGAGGCCCGGCGAGGAGATGCCGAAGCTGAAGAAGCGTGTTGGCACGTCGTTCTCGATTCCGGAGGAAATGCTGAAGAGCGATAAAGTGAGTGTTCATCTTCACGAATACAAGTACTACAATGTTTATGAATAGAGTATCGGACTGGCGATTGAAGGGGCAGCTTTCTCATCCTCTTTGTATTCTCCAAGTGTTCGACTGAATACCAAATGCTGATAGAGAGCCATAAGAACGGCAGTCACATGTCCTGCCATTATGTTAGCTTTGTCTGAAATGTTCTGAGCATTAGGAGCGATGTCTTTGTCGCCGTGGAGGAAGGGGCGTGTCAGGCGGGATGGCTTGGCGCGGCGTTTTGCGAATAAGAAGCTAAAAGCCTGGATACCACTTCTTCAAAAGAACTACGCGTGAAGTATCTGCATAGTTCAGTATCGTGTGTTACTTTGAAACAACTGGCAACTGGTTATTACATTGCGCCTTCATTGTCATAATGTTTTGTCTGTTTATTGAGATACCGACATCTCAATAAACGCGCTCATCAAAGTGAAGTTCAAAAGTTCTTAAAGACGTCATTACTTCGAACAACCGGTTCTTATTATAAGTTTTCAAAACTGGTATCTATAAAAAGCCTGTGGCGAAGAACTACGGTCAGCTATCTCATGTTCTCGACTCCGCAACTGAACGATTACTCAGCAGACTGGAGAGCTGTCCAGAATGATCTTAGACAGCACCACTGTTAGGAAGAGATTGTGACAAATAAAATGAAGTAGTAAAGCGAATTGTGAAGTAGTGAGTA